AAAGGTTTTAAAACTAATATATTTTTCTGGTCCTCTCTACCCATTTTAAAGTGTTTCCAATGCCTCCATCCATTTAAACAGTGTAATTCTTTTCATGATGACAGTGGTGAGGCTCTGCCTCCCCTGACTGCGGTCCCCTGGTAGAGACTCTAAATTGATTCCTCACTTGACTCTTCCAGTTTAGTCTAGTTAGAAGTGGATATAGGGACATTAAGCTAGTGTGATCAAAATAAACCAGAAGGATTTTTCCCACTAAATAAGCATACAAAGAATTACACTGTTTAAATGGATGGAGGCATTGGAAACACTTTAAAATGGGTAGAGAGGACCAGAAAAATATATTAGTTTTAAAAACTTTCTTCAAAAATAAGTAATTATTTAAAGTAAAAAATTTCATGTAGCATCAGAATAAATTATTAATTCCCTTCTACAATGTTTAATTATGAAAAATTAATATTTGGCACACATTTGTTATAACTTAGCATTCACTAAAATGACGTATGTGTCCAAACTATAGATGAAGGCTTGTCAAAAAGATGGTGTATCATGAAAGAAAATGGAATTTATCTCTAATGTGGACACAAGGCAAAATAAAAGTTAGACATATCTGGACATAAAAATATAATCCAGTTATAACATAATGCTCATAGACTGTTACTAATTGAAATATTATGATCATGAAGTGCAGGCTGAAAGAACTAAACAATTCTAATAAGATATGGAACTTTTTGTTTTTAATCCATAATGTACATATTACATTTAAGAGTCTAATTTAGGAAAACTTTATTCTAAATAAGGCATTTGTATCTTGACACCACGTTATAATTCCCAATAGCATAGTTAGCATGTGCTGTACTTCAGCAACTTTTACTTGTTTTCCTGTTTCTAAATAAAACTATTTTGATTAAAAACATGGGGGAGACCTATACATACTTGAAACTCGCATCATATGTCCCTTCTACTTATCCTGATAACCTATTTCTTTCTGCAGCAACCATGTGTTTCAGGAATTCACCTACTATCTTGTATTGGCTATGTAATATTTATAGCTTAAAAGAAGTTAGCAAGAGAAAATGTGCCAGGTAAATATAACATTTTTCTCCATTGATAATGCAAAGCATCAAAACCAATTTACCTTGATATGTTATGTTACCTTGATATGTTTCACTCCGCAGCTAGCCACTCGGTTAGGTTGATATGGATCCCAGGAAATATCAAAAATCTGTCAAAACATATTCAAAACTGCTACACTAAATAAAAAAACAAATGCATTAAATCATAGAAATGTCTATTTCTCTCACATAATTTCAACAAAGTTCTATGGTTCTCTTAGCAAGATTGTTAATAGTTACATCATAACTCATAACTTTTTTTATAGAAGACAAATGAATTTGAAAAGTAGTCAGCAAAACAAACACCCTACAAGGTTCATTATACATGTTTGTCTTTAATTTACAGTATATTTGTATATAATAGGAATGTTAACAATTATAGGAAAAAAATATTAATAAATACCACATTGTATAGACTTAAAGAAAATAGATGAGATTTAAAATAAACAGTATTGTTATAAAAATTTTCTATATTTATTAGACCTTGCTGTATAGATATCACTCTTGAAAAAACTGATTTTACATTATTTTTCTTACAAACCTATTACTATTTAATTGATCCACCTAAAAAACATACAAATATTTGTGTTCTGCATAATTTAAATTGATAGTAGAATCATTCAATACGGATTGCAACTTTAGCCTGTAACATTCTCAAACAGTTGCTGGGGTCTGCTTCAAAATTCCATTTAAATTTCCTAAAATAATCAGCACAGAAAACCAAAGAGCCAATGATATANATTTATTTATCAGCACAAATACAACAAATGTAACAAAAAGGCAACAGTAAAAATATTGGGTTTCTGCCTGGATGGTCTCTTGTGACGAGCCGAAGGACAGAGAATGGAAGTAGTGATCTTCCTCCCATATTTGGGCATACTGGGGGTTGTAAAATCTAATAGATACTACATATATCTATATAACCTAACCTTTTGTAAAGATAAAACAGATCTTGGCTTAGATATTTAGATACAATTAACATAAAGATACAAGCATAATATAGAATTTATAAATAGTGTAATATGTTGAAGGAATTGAAAGGATAAGCTCACAAGAACGATTAAAGCACTTATGGTGCTCCTTGCATAAATGACTGACTGAACCAATTTCGCACTAAACAAAGTAAACTAATTGAAGAAACAAAGTAATTGCCAAGGTAATCAAGGCAATATTTAATTCATTTCATCAGCTTAGATGAAAAAGCAAAAAGATTCATCTTTGGAATAAGCCATAAATATTTGTTAATCATAAAGTTCTATATTGAACATTTTCTATTACAAATGTTAGAATGCCAAATACGTATTCCTTACTAAGAAATGCTCATTGCACTCTATGGGTAGTCCGCATTCAACACCACAGATTTAATGACAATTCAAAGTGCAAAATGATGGGACTCACAATTATTTCTTGTACTTATGCTCTTCACAGAGACTCTGTAGTCATGTGATCACAATTCAGGGACTTGGAAAGTGGCTTACAATTACAACAGTCCCAGCATCCTGCAGTCAGTTGATCACCATTTATGATCTTCACTGTTGGTTCCAACAAGCAAAGTCAATGGGGAAGCCAGGCGAGATTGCAAATGGAGATCATGTGACCATAGGAGGCTGCAGCCAAATGGGATTCACTTAATATCAGCACTGGAGCTGCTGCATCTGCTGTTGTAAAGACAGGATTTTGTGCTTTATAACTGCACACTTGGCAACAGAATTGCAGGTCCCAATTACTGTAGTTACTGGTAGGTGAGTTAAATGATTAATTGCATTCATGGCATTTGAACCTTAAATAATGTAACTATGAAATTAGTTGATTCAAGTATTGTTGCTGAGACAAAGCTTATATGATAGGCAGATTAGTGATAATGTGAGTATTGAGTTCCATACTTATTCATGTTACCTGAAATATTCCTCATATTAAATTATATTTTAATGAAAGTCACAAGTTCAACTTCCCCCAAACAATAAAACTAACTAAATCACATATTCTGCTTCACTAGAATTTAAGATTACAGTACAGAACTATTTTTCTGTTCACAAAATTGTTACAGTAGAACATATGTCTTGAATCAAATGAATTAAAATTTGATAAGTTGTTTTTCCCCTGAATAATATTTCTATGCCTGCCAAGATGTTACTGAGAACAGCAAAATCAATAACAAAAAAAAAATGCTTCTGCAAGTATGGCACAGTTTATTTAGTTATTATTTATATACCAAACAAATTTGTGTAACTGTTCTAGTTACCCTTTAGGTGAGCCCAGCAATCAATCAGCACAAAAATCAATTGAGAATTGATTAAGTGTCCAAAAGCAAAATAGGAAACATACATGTTTTAAGAATCTAGTTTTCGTATAGTAGCATATAAGTGGTAACTTACACTATGAGCTCCTTGTATTGTGCGGACTAAGGTGAGCCCTTTCCAGACATAGACGTCTCCATTTAAAGCACCAGAGAACGTAACATCATCTTTCACACAAGACAAACACAGGATAGTTTGTAAGTCTCCTGTTTTGCCAAATATTCCTCTTTTGGCTGTCAAGGCATTTCCGCACAGTGTCCAAAACTACAAAATGACAAACAGAATGTCTTCAGCATTTGCAATATGTGTCTGAATTATACTGTTAAGATGTATGAAAAACCCCTAGTAGTTTACATATGTTAGGTCCGTTTATGTTGTTTATGGTATTTACATCTAACTACTTAAATGAATTATCAGGATAGTTTACATTACTGAAAGATTCAAAAGCATTTAAAATTGCGTAGAACAAGTACTCAAAATATATGATAACATAAAATCATTTGGTAAAAGTGTTAAATTAAAAGTTTTTATTGCTTTTAAAATAACAAAGAAAAATAAATTAAGTAGTAATAATAAAAAATTGTTTTTACAAGTAACAGTGAAGGTATAAATTTACACAAGACCTTAGACTATTAGTAATCCTTTATTCCTCCTGTAATCCTAGTACGGAATGAAGTCTTTCCAACTGCAATCCACAGTGCCTGAAAGGATCAATGTATTTTAATAAATCCTTTATTTGTGATAAAATCTATAGCACATGCGCTTTGATCAGAATCAGGTCCAGAGCAGGAGACAAAGGATTACAAATTCTTGATTCTTCACTATACTCAGCAGTTTGTATAAACCATATATAAAGTACTTTGAGGCCAGCATCCTGCATTGTAAATAACATGATGAAGACCTTTCCAGTAGTCTTTTAACACTAATTACTGTAAATTTCAAACAGAGATGTAACCTCTTTTGGGATGATCTTTCAATCCATGGCAGGCAGGCATGTTGCACCTAAGCTTATATCTTGACAGGGCCAACTTTGTGAACTGTCCAATTCACAGAACATCTTAACCTATAGCCCACCTCCCTTCTGTATCTAGAAAATTTTGCCTATCTACTATTTTTGCTCATTCAAGCCACCTACCACCAACTGAATTAAATTACAACCACCACCCCCCTACACATACCTGTTTCCAAAGTAACCTTGGGATATACTTGTTGTGGACTATATAATTTATCCTATAATATGTCAAACACCTACTGTAATTGACATTTGGGTTGCAATTTAATTTTTCCCCTATGGTAGTTTATTTCATTTCTTGTCATGGTTTCCTTTCTACTTCTGAGGCGGCTAACAGAAATTCACAATTCATAGAGGTATTTTGGAAAGCCCTATTTCAGTTATGAGATGTTAAGCTCCTCCTCTCAGCTATCCATCATTTGCAATTGGATGTTGAAATAAAAGGTAAATGCCACTCTGGAGCAACACCCTTCCATGTTGTATTAAATGTGTCTATGTCAATAATTGAGATGTTGCTGTTTTAGGTCAACTACATTTACCACCCATGCCTGTAACTACATGCTTCCCAGTTCTCCCCCATTCCAGAGGCACCCAGCATTCTCTAAAATCAAAGATTATCTGGCTCTTGCCAAGGCGTCATGCCAGCACTGTGGAGATCAAGCCCTATCCTTTTGCAGTTGAAGATCATATTTAGTTTTGTATCAATTTTTTCTCTTCCACATGGGCTGCCTAAAAAGTTGAACACCAAGTTTGTTGGACCATTTTTCACAGTTGTATAGATCATCCCTTTGCTTTCATCAGGAGTTTCCAATCACAGTGAAAACAGATGTTGATCTATTGTACCTTAATAGTCCTGGAAAGTCTTCCTGGCCCCTTGTACAACTTTGTTCCACTACCTTCAGTTTCAGTGTAGTAATAATTTTGAGGTTGGATGTTTTTTGAGGCTCTTGGCACAGAAGGAACAGACAGAGTTCTTTGATTTGCTAATGTGGTTGCCCAAATATCAAACAGTAAAGGAAAATATCAAATGACACACATATCAGAGGTGGTATTCAGTCAGGTTTTGGAGAATCAGTAACGGAAATTTTGAGAGTGGAGGGGGAATGGGAATTTTGCAGTATCCTTCCCCTGCCACACCCACAAAGCCATGCCTACAGAACCGGTAGTAAAAAATTTTGAATCCCACCACTGACACATACGCCTACTCTCCTTTGACAGTACCAACTGCTCCCAATGCCAAAGGTCACTGTG